TGTCCATGGCAGGCCATCCTTTAGGAGGCACCGACCAAGTGAGACATTAACAGGGGCATTCACTAAGCCAGCCTTGCCAAACAAAGTGCATAATTGAAGAGGTTGTTGGAGCTTTCCTGTTGGGCCCATTTGTTTAACAGCTCCTCCCGAAGCCAAAGCCGGGCACTTGCTTCGCCCGGCTTGAGCCCCTAGCTGCGGCTTGATCGGATGTGGGCCGACGTGGAATTTGGCAGCTATGCAACCATAACATTCATATTACGATATACAGTGCAGTAAAGCATACCCGATACACAAATAGAATATATATACAATTATGATCAATTATGTACACATGGTTCACCCAACATCTCTTCTCAAATCGTTGAGGAAGGGAAGCAGTAGAGAAGCCTTCACTGAGTAGGCTCCAAATGGCTCCAATGCGGAGCTTGAAATTGAATTAGATTGAATCTTGCGCAGTTCAGCTTCCAACAGGACGGTCTGATGCAGCAAAGGCTCTCCATCTGTCCGGGAAGGCGAACGCGGAAAAATGTCGGGCGAGTCCTGAGCGCAACAGTACTTGATGCGCTCAAACTGGGGGTTGATGGTCGGTGGCAAAACAAAAACATCGAAAACAAACAAAGCTTTGAGATTTGCACGTTTGGCTCCAGCAAAACAAAAGGTTTGGAGGTTTGGAGGAGAGGCAATGAGAAGATAACGAAACGAAGCAAGATCCGGGTGAATTTCGGAAGCTGAGCATTTTCGCAGTCTGGATCTGCCGATCGCGACAGGCACGGGACGGTCACCCCAAGCTGCCGACGTCGCCCATCATATCCATCGCCTCTCGGCCAGCTCTCGCCTGAAGAGCAACAGCAGATCCCTGGTTCTCAAGTCGTTGGGGGTCGATGCCTCGGCCACGAACTGCTCCAGGATCATTTCCTGGCCGAGCTCCAGGAAATGGGAAATGCCATGTCCAATTTCCTCTGGACCTACGAGACTTGTTTGGGACTCCTTGCAATTCCTATGCATCCTTTGGAACTCCTTGAAATGGAGGAAGCTGCTTGCAGTGTCCGTGTGGTTCCGGCCTGTGCTTCAGGATCCTGGTCCAGCTCTTCCAAGACACCGCGAGCATACCTCTCATGTGCAGCAAAATGCCGGCCCAGCGCCTTGGAATAGACTAATCATGCAGAAACGGCATGAGTTAAACACATTGAAATCATATCAACGTGTCCTCAAATGGATTCAAATGGTGCTCATACTAAACGATCAACAACATATATATATATATATAGTTGCATGTCAGATAAGAGTAAACGCGACAACGCAAATACATAATTAAATATATAGTATAGTATATATATCATATCGACTTATCTACATTTAACTAAATACATACTTAGTATATTGTTTGAATGTTTGGAGCCATTAAAAGGACGACATTTTAAAAAATGTAATACAGCATACTGGAACACATCAAACATGGAAGACAAGCTCCCGCATGATGGCAAATGATCGCGAAACACAGACACAGCCCACCTGCGGAAGACATCATAAGTAACTGCTCGACCATGAGGGTCCAGTTTGGTGCGGAAAAGCCGCTTGTACCTATACACTGCGTGCCGTACCCGATCAAGTACGTGCCGAATCCAGCCCGGCCCATCTGACTGACCAGTCTCCAAGCTGGAAAACATGCATCAAATTCGAGGGGTGGGCAGCGGGCACGTGTCTCTGACCTCCTGCAGTTCCTTAGATCCGCCGCAGTTGGGCTTAAAACAGTTGGATTAGTTCCGGCCATACACTGAAGACACTTGAAGGTAAGAAGATTCCATGCCTCTGAGCTTTCTGTGCTGTATACGCTCAGAATATCTCAGAATCTACAAGCTGGAGCTTTCTGCGCTGTGTCGGGTCTAACAAGCCTTGGGTTGTTTGTTCCGCACATGTTTGCTCAAGCAGCCAAGGATGTTGTCAGTTGTGATCCGAGTGATCCAGCATGGGGCATGGAGACTAGGGAGATTAAGTTTATGCATCTCAAATCGTAACAATGGCAACATGTTGCGCGTTGAAAGATCAGTGGTGCTACCAGTGTAACCTTGCACGTTTATGGCTGGGCGGTTGGGAATTGCGATATCCTGCGAAAGATCTGCCATCTATTTCCCGACTTCCAGACCTGAACGAACTGTAAAGCACACACATGTAATAGTCGTCACTGTAGTTCCCCAACGTCAGCGATGAGTATGGTGCGATCTCACAACGGGTGATGACTTGAGGGATGTTGGATTGTGGTGCTTTCGTTACATTGGACGTTTGGCAAACTGGATCTGTGTGCCTGCCATCAGCACATTTCCTGGGCCCGACAGTGCAAGTGGTCAACCAACTAACTGTGCTAACCTTGCTGAACCGAGTATGCTACTAGTAAAGGGTGTCTCTTTAATGGTGTGCCGAGCTTCCACAGCAGCCTTATCGTGGTGGAGCATTGCAATCCTCACGTTCAGCATTACCAGCTCGGACTCCTCAGGATTGGGCATACACCCCGCAGACCGCAAACATCCGCAACCCCCTCGAGAATGTCCTGGAAATCGTGCTTTAAACAAGTGATGAAGAGATATGAAAAGAATACACGCAGCTTGCCCTTGCCCTTTGACATCCTACCGACAAATGCGTGGCACCTGCCATGAAAAACCTTCCGAAACACATCCGACGAATGTTCGATCAACGAAAAAAACGCTCACGAGACGAAGGCTGAGCGCAAACTCCCGATTCCTGCAGGAGGCCGTCGTCATTTAAGTCGTGGACCTGCTTTGCACGGTCATTCTCCAGACCAGCTGACAGTGGCTGACAGTCAAAATGACAAACGGTCAGGGATGTCTAGCGTTACCATCAAAGCCGTCAATCTGAGAAGTTGCTCGAGATCACATGGCAAGAAACGCGAAGTCAAAACACAATAGCAATGTATGAGAAGAGTTGCGGGTTGATGCGAGTTGCCAGTGCTGTGCCTCTGAAATTACCTCGTTCCAGTCAAGACTCCGAACACGCGCAGCTGATGGGCTTTCCGCAATACCTGTTTATAATACCTGCGTCCAACCTTGAAGAGCTCGAGGGTCAAATGTTCCAATCTGAGTGCGTTTGGGAGGTCGCATTCTCATTAACAAAAACATACCAACATCCAACAAGAATAAGTTAGAATAGCAAAAAGGACACGCAAAGCCCAAAATCCGCCAAAAGAGACATTGATGTGACTCCACGAGCCAACAACCCCTCCGACATACAGCACTTCCACAAAGCAAAGCAAAGGGACCAAACCTAAACTTTCAACCTTGGATTGCCACACAACTCACTGCCGTTACAGAGTTGCAATCCTTTACCGCTGGGAAATAAAGGCCATGTCCTGCTCCCAACTCCATTGGCCTTTCAATGTCAATCTCTTGCGTCTCTTTGGCGTACTTATCCTGCAAGGTCCATGAATAAACCCCGCAAACTTCTTGTATATGACAAAACTTGAAAACCATATGCATAAAAACACATATATATATATAAATAACAAGATAATACTAGAAGTAGTCTGTAATACCTGACATTGACATGATGAGAAGGGTAGGTAGCAAGTGGGAGCACAAAGTAGTACGGTAATACTATAATTGAGTTTGGACATAAATATTTGTTTAAAGTGCCCTTTTGCTCTTGCACTTGGCTCTCCTTTGCTCGCCTCTTCTTTTTAGATGGCACCTGTCGAGCAAAAACCATCCCAGATTCCCTCTTTCGCATGCTTTCACAAGATTAGGCACTGCTGGCCGTGCGTGTAGGACCTTTCTAGACCTTGTTTATGTTCTGATTGTATTGGCAGAATTTAATCTGACCCTTGGGAGTCAACACATCGCTGACATCGCCTGTTTAGCGTCCAAGCAAAAGATCCAGTCGGCGGCATCCGCTGTGTTGCAGACTGCACAGCTGCCAAACGCACCTGAGGCCATCAACATGTACAAGGTTGACCCCCAAGAGAAAGAATATGCCAATCCCTAGTGACATGCCGTCTCAAAAAGTTGTTCTCCAGCCGGATTTCCCACACTGGCACCCCGGTTAGAGCCGGATTCGGAAACTAATCGGTCGGATTCTAAAACTAGGGTTCTGAAACTGGGGTTCTTAAACTAGGGTTCTGAAACTTGGATTCTGAAACTGGGGTTCTGAAACTTGTATTCTGAAACTGGAAAGTCAGATTCTGCAACTGGTATTCCGAAACCAGTTACGGAATCCCAGTTGCAGAATCCTAGTTGCGGAATCCTAGTTGCTGAATCTTGACAGTTGCGGAATCCTAGTTTCGGAATCCTAGTTGCGGAATCCTAGTTGCGGAATTCTAGTTGCGCAATCCTAGTTGCGGAATCCTAGTTTCGGAATCCCAGTTGCGGAATCCGACCAAACAGTTGCGGAATCCTAGTTGCGGAATCCTAGTTGCGGAATCCTGCGCAGTTGCGGAACTCGACTTTATCCCTGGCACCCCTGTCCACACCTTGAGCTAAGCTCGCGGAGCAAAGGTTGGCACCCATGGTTCCCTGAACAGGTCAAAAGAGGAAGGCGCAAAACAAGACACTGCCTGACCAAAAGGCGCACACCTTTCATTCATGGGATCCCGTCTCAACACGCAATGATGTTCAGAATGGCCTGATTGTGTGCTGCAATGCATCCACCACGGTGCTGATGGTATTTGCTCTAAACTGTTGCATTCAATATCATGCAATTGCCCAATGGATTTATTGTACGCCGGCAATTCACATACCATCCAACTCGGTGCCTGCACGTCGTCAGCACGCCGGCCCAACAATAAGCACTTCAGAGTTCAGAGCCATAATGTGGCAAAACAAAGGCTAAAGCGGCTAAACAAAGTCAGCAATCATCAGCTTGAGGTGGGTGTTGCCATTCTGTGTTTTCATCATTACAGCCTTGGTTCAGCAAGGATCTTCTAAGCGTCAACTGGTGTACGTGGTAATTTACGGTATACGGTACGTTCTGATCGATATCCAACTCAAAAGCACCGTCAACTGCCCAGCCAGTATCTCTCTCCTCTTATTACTCTTGTTATCTTTTGAATGCTCTTGTAAACTCCTTCGACCCTTTTCGCCTTACTTTCGCTCCGTCCCTTTTGACCTCTTGTAAATCTTGTATTCGGTTGATTCATCTCGTTCCAATGCCTCGCTGCAGCTCACCCGAGTGCTCACAAGGATGAGCTGCAGATAGACTCTCTAGACCTGCGGGGCAGCTAATTAGGAAACAGTGTCCCACGAGAGACAAATGCTTTGAGGGAAGTCTTGTGCTACAAGCCACCACAAAGAAACAATACACATGCCAACAAATGACCTTGCTACAAACCCTGTTGCCACTTGCTAGCTACTCATCTTCAATCGAACTTGCTGCTTGACCTCGAAGTCAAGTGCACAGGCCACACTGCAGCCGCACAGGCCTTCTGAAGGGCCTCCTTGTTGTTCACTCTGTCTCGCCACGGAACACTTCAAAGGCACCACCTCCGACTATTTCTGGCAGCGTGCAGAGAAGTTGGATGCCTATGGCTATAAATGACATGTAATCATATGATATTAAATTGCTTTTATAATATGCCTTGATATGATATCAACATATATCGACCCTTTAAGTGCATTCAATGGAGGACACCGGATCCCCTCGATTTCAATTCTAGCACCCTAGCTTGCAAACAAAAATTAATTTGTTTATGTACATGTAACATGTTGGTCCGGGTCTGCAACACAATGATAATGGAGCCACATCAATCTGGCCGAGTGGGTTGTGACGGGATCTACTCTAGCAATCATTGTCGTAATGTCCATGATTCAATCCGCCGTTGATTCATCACATTTCTGGGTCTGCTGTTTCGATTGCACAATGAATATGTATATATATATACATACATTATATACGTTGATATTATATTGTATAATCATGTGTGATCATGTATGTGTATACAGTATACAGGCTGGCACCTAACTTTGCCTTAAACCGTGTTGAAGTATGCGCGCATGTGTGCACCGGGTAAGCCGGGATAAACATATAGAACCTGAAAACCGTACATCTGTGCAAAAACCACGTGTTTGCATATCTTCCAGTGGTCCATGTTCAGGTTCTATGTTTAAGTATGTTTAAGTTACTGGTGCATCTCAGTGAAGCCCGTCAAGCAGCAAGCAGCCCCGCGGTTGCTCCAAACTGTGGCCTCTAGGCTTGCGTCGCTCGAAGAAGGCCCAAATCCTTGGGTACTTCTTTGATTCTCATGGTGGCCAGGATTTGGGATGGTCTAGCTAGCCTACGAGCCCCTTGCTTCCCCACAAAAGTTAATTATGCAGTGAAGCCTAACTACACTGAAATGTGCTGGTAAGGCATCGATCAAATATGACAGTCAGCCGGCGTTCTGCCCAGCGGGCCTCGGGACGGAACAATTTCAGCTCACCAGGACGCTACAGTGGACGCTACTAGGGGCTCCTGGCCTTACTACTAGTAACAAGGACCCTACTAGGAACAAGTGCATCGCTTCTAGTGACAAGTGCCTTACTAGTAGTAGCAAGAAGCTACTAGGGGCTCCTGGCATCGCTACTAGTAACAAGGACGCTACTAGGGGCTTAACCCAACCCAACCCACAGGGAGCACACCAGCGCCATCATTGTCTACAGCCGTCAAAAACGCAAGCGCAAGGCTTGAACTTGCCAGTGTCCTGACCAGCTCCAATGCTTGTTCGGCTCCTTGACAACTTGACCTTGCTTTTGATACTTGAATAGGAGATAGGAGATAAAGGTTTGGGAATATGGGAAACAACTCAGCATGTTTCAGCCACTCGAACAGCCTATTGCAGTTGGTGACGACGTGCCTGTGGCTCTCAAGAAGCCTGCCGCGACCTGATAGCCTGGATCCGACAAGTTGGACCTCAGGGGTGGTTGAGCATCCCTCCACCCACCTGCGCTAGCAGCTACTAGTGTTACAATGAGTGTTGCCCTTCCGCCAACGCTTGATACCATTGCACTCGCGATTGCCATCGCTTGATACCACTGCCTCTGCGGTGTCGTGTTGCACCTTGATTCATGGGCAAAGCCTTGCCGTCAGCTATTGATTCGACAGCTCGCAGCAAAGGCCCCCTTGTCAGGCAAAATGGCACGTCACTGAGTTTGCTCAACAGCTACGGAAGAACATCCAGGTTAAGAGCCGGCATGGGCACCTGATGGGTGATCCAACGGGACGGCCTGAGGTGGTGGCCCAAAGAGAAAAGGAACTCCGAGTGCTCCAACAAAGGCACCTTCATCGAAGTTGAGGGGTCATTGTGAGGTGGAATTTTGCTGAACTTTGCTGAATGATGTCTGGAAGGCTGTTGGACACAATTTTGAAACAAACAAGCCTACCATTGCCTACCAAAAGGGCCAACACTCGACGTGATTGGACACCTGTGCCCCCCAATTCCAACACTCGGGCCCAAAGAATCCATTCGCCCGGCCTGCGATCATTGCAGCAGGGTCAATGGGGTATTCAATCTTGGGCGGCAATGGTACGAAAGTAACCTTGGAAAGGAACCGGCATTCATGCCTCTTCCACAAGCATTACGAACAGCCAGCTCCCCAACACCCGCAGGTAATCAAATACCTGGAACAATGGAATACCTCAACACAAATTTGGACAAAGCTCCTGCAAGCACCTCAACCCCATAATTCATTGTCGAGAATCATGGTTAATCTATACTGTGGCCGTGGCCTCACATGAAGTAGGAACCGTCCAGCTCTTATTCTAGTGTCTGCAAATATTTAATTGTTTGCCTCGCTGCAGCCAGCAAAACAGTCGAGCTACATTGTCCTCCTGCAACCGCCGGCTAAGACTTGTATATCCTGGGCGTGCAAGGGGGTAAGTGTGCCCTGGCACATATGGCCACTCATTACAGGGGCCAGTGCCAAACACTACTTACTTCGACAGGTGTGAGGGGACAACAGGACGTAATAGTTGAGAATGTAGATACCACATATATAATAGTATATAATTAATAGTTAAAAACATTGTATAAACTATATAATTTAAAAAATATCACTCGTAAGTCATCACAACAACCTTCAACCTCAACCATTCCCAGCAATCAAAGGCTGACAAATCGCCTGCAACACGTATTGGCAATTTAGACTAGAATGCGTCGGACTGACAAAAACTTGCGCGGATTTTGGGCGGAAATTAGCTTGTCCTTTCACATTATAGGGTTTCGTAGGGTACCGTACCTACCGTCTGGTCATCTAAGTCTTGACTCGATGCTAGGGTTCTGTTGTCCGTCTTACTTGTTGAAGTTAAAGCCCTGTTTGCTGTGAACCCTTCACCAGTAATTGCAAGCCAAACCCAACGGCGCACCCAGCGACTCAACTCTGGCAGCACGTATGAGCCCCCCCCCACACATCCTCAAACCCCCCTAAGCCTCCAACAGAGTGTGCAAGCAAGCAATGTCAGATCGTGTTGTGGCTTTCTAGCACCCCGGTACCATTTAGAAGGGTTGTTGGAGTTTCTTTGTCACCTTCACTTACCCTGGCATGTGCAAGCATAAACCCAAAAAAACAGTTGATAACAGTTGTATCATGTTGTATCCAAGTCACCGCCGCCTTCAGCGGCACCAAGTATTGCAAGCACCTTGGAAATCGCACATGTCAATACAAAAGCCATGCTCGTCCGGCCTGAAGAACGACATAACAATTGAAACATCCTGGCACTAAAAGGCATGCCGGAACGACCACAGTGGCAAGGAGGATCTGCATTGCCTGTGCAAATTGAATCTACTGCGCCCAACACGACTCAAGGATGCCACTGAATAGACCAACTTCAAGGCAGCCACTTACAATGCGTTTGCCCACCGAAATAGACCGTAGCAACTACCGAACCTGTTTCTTGGTGGCAAAACAGTTGATGCACATGGCCCATATGGTGAACCTGACCTGTCTTAATTCAAATTAACAACTATTGGACTATTGGGTCTGACAAATCCTGGGCCGCAACACTGACTTGTACAACCTGTTGTTTGCTTTTGATTTCCGGCCTTTGCCCTCCCCAAAGGCTGCAATGGGTCCGCCCCAAGTGTTTGGATATGCCAGCGGAAAAGCAAATTATATCAAATGACCTTGGACATTGAATGCAAAAGCAAGCAATCCGTTCGAGGGTCACTGATGTTCATGCCAAACAGGGTGCTATCAGGCGATATGAAGTAGCAATGGACACTCAGCAAGTTCTTCCGGTACTGCATCAAACAAGCTTGCAACGTCATTTCAGCATTAATTAAGCACATGTTAAAAATCATCTCTATGCCCCGCCCGTGCCGTGCCCCTGCCTGCCCCAATGTGAGATCGCTGGACAGGTTGCCCGTTGTCAGGACTATTATCAAAATAACCCTCACAGCGCAAAGCTGCTTAGTTCGCTCTCCCTTTTCCGTTGGGACCCTCCAGCAGCTCACGCCGGACTCGCTTTGGCAAAAGCCGCAAGGCCTCAAAAGGTGTCCATCCTGCGTATGCTATGTTTCAAAGTTTCGTTTCCTATGTTTCCGTTTGCAATTGTTTACATAATATTCACCCATGGAATTGAGTGTTGAGTGTTGTTCCCAGGTGCCGATGTCGAGGAGTACAAAGTTTCGCCAGCAACAGTACACTTTGTTTGATCGTCTGCTCTGTGCGTCCTTCTATCACTGATGCTCAGGCACTCGATTCTGTGTTTGAGAAAGCATCACCGTCGAGTCCTGCAAATTCTCCCCATCGACGTACTAAAAATCTGTAAGATACCCTTACGATCCCTTACGGATCCTTACAAAGGCCTTACGGACCCCTTTCTTGGTTCCAATCAAAGGCCTTCTCAGTAAACGGCCTTGGCACGCTGGGCTCCAAAGAGTGACCGGCCAATCCAGCCCGGTGGTGCGATCGCATCCAGCTTGGAATCCCCGGGAAAGGGGTGCAAAGCCACCTGAGGTCGTTTGACCAGAAATCTTTTAAGATTTGTATGACACCCATTGGACCAGTTCTCCAAGTTGAACCCTAAGACCCGCCTTCGAACACCGGACCCATCCACTCCAATACAGACTCACATCTCACATCGACACTCACAATACAAATCAAGAGAGAATGTCTTGATACTTATAGACTTATATACTTATATATGATATTATATATATGATTAATTCAATTGTGTACAGGCAAAGTGTGTTTGGGCCCTCGCATGGCAGTGTCTAGAGATGTCTAGAGTCTAGATTAACATGTTCATCCTCATGAATCATGTCCGTCTCTCTCTCTCTCTCAACAGCCCCAGGTAGGAGCTAAACAATTTACGAAAGGGGAAGCTGCACAAGGGGGAGGAACATGAACATACAGGTGATGGCCATCATCTGCAAGACAAAAGAGTAAAACACAAACAGTAGTTTGACTTTTTTTAATTCGGCCATTGGCCTGTTGATCCTTCAACTCTTCATCCAATCAACTTCCAGGTTTGACATGAAAACTGGACGTTCTTCCGCCCAGTGGCCACGATCTCTGCAAAGGAGTTCGGCTCTGACATGCCACAAATGGCCTCCTTAGGGATCTCCAAGCCACGTAAGGCGCTGCGGGCCAACGTACGGAGGCCTAGCCGAACACGAGCAATCCACGATCCGTCGCTGGACTTAGGATGAAAACCAAGTCAAAATGGAATGGCAAAAATCAGTCATATAGTCCAATATGGTCCAATGAGAAGTGGGCTATCGTTCTGTTTGGGGTTGGATGTGCTCTTTCCATCTCTTTCCCATTCTTTCTTGTTCTTACTTTAGAGCTGTGTTGAGAGCGTGTTTCAAGGCGACCGAGAAGGCCTTCAACTGTCTTGACCTGCTTGTCATGGTCCTTCCTCCCACTGCACAGCAACAATTCTTCGGCAGTCTCCTCCTCATTGTCACGATCTTCTTCCGGCACCTGCCACTGACTGCCCCCTCCTGGTTCAATTGCATGATTCTCATCATTGTCATGGTCTTGTGCAGAACCTGCGTTGTTGTCTTGGACTTCCTCACGTGTGTCATTGGCATCTGCATCCTGAAGTTCAGAAAGTTCGCCCAGCCCTTCAGACCTGAGAGTATCATCCACTTCAACTGCTTGATCATGATCCTTTTCAGTCCTCATCTCCTCTTGAGGAGGCTTTGCTTCTCCACAATCCTGTGGAGCCTTGTCAGCTCTGGTGGAACTCTCCTGCATCTCAACCTCTTTGCAGCTCTCAAGCTCCTGCAGGGCCCAATCTTTGCTGAACCCTCTGGTCACACCTGATCATCAATCCTAATAAAGAATCCTGCAGCGTTTGTTGCTCGCTCTCCCTCTCTCTCTCTCTCACTCAAACATCCCTTTTGCCTGCTCTGCGCATGTGGAGCTCTGGCTGCTTCTGCTGACACTGTCCCCTACAGGGCTGCAAAACACCAATACAAAGCAAGGCTTTGTGAGAAACCACCTCATCAACATGTATACCTCCCATAAGTACAGGAAACAAAGATGATTGTAGCGTATTGTAGCATTGACTGCAGTTGCGCAAACGGCGTACAACCAAGATGTCCTGCCTTGCGGAGAGTCTAAGTCTTGCATGTTGCGGCGCAATAGAAGTACGGTCCCACCTGGATGCACTCTGAGTGTCAAGGATTGTGAAAGCATCGGAATTGCCGTTCAATTGCCCTTCATGTCTCCCACATGACCGAAGGTACAATAATCCGATGCCTGGGAAAAGGCTGATCATCAACTCAAAGCACCCTAAAAGTCATAACGCCTCCTTACGGGCAAAAGCATGGACCTGCCCAAGCTTCAGCGTTGACTGAATCCCTGGGTCGTTCAGACTGAATCCCTGGGTCGTTCAGAGCCTGGTCGAGATGGAAGCCGCAAACAGGGCCAGTCCCCAAGCTCTTCCTGTCAAACGCGTGGCCAGAAAGAAGCACTCTGGAGCCATAGGCTCTAGTAGCGGCAAATTAACAGTTTAATACGATCCTCCTTTGATCAATCTGTGCGAAGGCCTTGCATCCAACGGTTTGCTAGTAGAAGGAGCTCTTGTGTTGTTCCCGCTGACTAATTTGCAAGGGGTGCATTTTTCTTTGAGAATTTTTGGGTTGCGCTTGGAGATCTATAGTTCCTTCAATGGAATGAAAAAGCGCTGTGCTTGGGATTTTTGTGCGGTCGAGGAACTGAACATAAACTTTATAGCTGATAGCTGTTCATAGAAGAAATCATATTTCAGGGTGTCAGGACGAGAAGGAATACAGAATGAAAAAGTGATGTTCATATGATGCACTTGGGTTGTTTCTTAAGGTGAACTAAAACACAACCACCAGTGGAGCAGAGAACAAAGAGTGGGAAAAGCATACAAAGCCAGAAAAGCAAACATAAAGCAACACTAACTCAAGGATTGACAACCAATTTATCAAAAGTGAAAGCAACGACCATAGAAAGAAAATACCATTAGGATAGGGAATCAATACGCCACCAAATAAAGAGAAGAAGGAAAGTGAAGGAGAAAAGCCAGAAAGAACAAACAAGCACGAAAGCAGCAGGGACAGCAAAAAAGGAAACCATTCACAAAGAAAAATAAAACATTCACCAAGCAGCAATGAAAAGCAAGAAGGAAATGCAAGACAAGCACAGAAAAGCGAAAAAAAGGAGAAAAGCGAGAGCAATCACAGAAAAGCTATGAGAAGCGAGGAAAAGCCAGAGGTAAGAAGCAAATCAAAAAATCACAAACTCAACAGAAAAGTGAAACCTGTGAATGTCCAGGCCTTTCGTCGTACTCGCAAGGCCTGGTGAGTGCAAAAAATTGCTGCAAAGCTGAAGTGTGCTGCTGAAATCTACTTTATAGGTCCTTTTAAGTTGGTTGATGGAACGCCCACATGCACTTCAAGATATGAACCCCGATCCAAAGCGGTCCCGCAGTGGTTGTTAGTCAAATGCTTTCTGTCACTATAGCGAAGCTGGCTTCTGCAACCAAGATTGTAGGTTCATGCTACTAAATGGGTCTCAAGTCTCAACCAACCATTCAACTCATGAACACAATGCTGGTGAGTTAGAAGGACTTGAAGAGCTTTATACAGAATCCAGGCAGCGCCTCGTCATCGAAGACCAGCTGATCAGACTCTTGCAGAGCGTCTATCAGCTCAGGAAGGCTAACGCCTCGACATGTTGCATGTAATGAAAACGTTTGCAAGATCAATAGAATTGGGGGCACAATTCCCCTCTCTGCTATGCCCCAGGAACATGAACATGCCCCAAAGATATATATATATATATAAAGATGAAAAGTCAGGAACATGAACAGGATGTTGCAAAGCCTGTTTGGCCAGTACTGGCAGTGTTCTTCATCTGCTGTCCAAGCCTGACCCAATGGGTACCGATGATGCCACTCCCAGAAAATGATCCGACAACTCCAAATCCCTCACTTGCGAGTCAACCATTCCAGTCTGGCGAGGCCGAAGCGTCAACGACCGGCGTCAACGACCTGCACCTTCGCGCCGAAGCTTGGGACATTGCAAAATCCAGGTGGCGCTCAGCCACACGCCATCCGCTGCAGCACGCAGCTGCCAGTCGCGGGAGAGGTTCCGATCAGAAAAGTAGAACCTCCGTGCCCACCAGAAGTGAAGGATGTGACTCCCTTCTACTGACATCCAAATAAAGAACTCAGCTGGTCAACCCAATATGTTCAATCTTGAAGAAACAAACTTAGGTTTGGCAGTGGCCCAGCGTAACACATCAACAAGGCACAAGCCAGCACAACAGGTGCTTCTGGTGCATGATCTGATAACCATCTGAGACCGATTGGCTCACCATCCTAAGGTCCTAATTGTCTTAAGACAACATTCAACGAAAACAAAATCATGCAAAGGTCCCGTTCAAGGAGCCCTTTAATATATGTATATAGTTAGTTAATTACCTTTCATCTCCTTGGTCGAGTCTAGACGAACATATAAACCTCTTTCGCTGCCTTAAACCGCTTACTGAGCTTCAGGCTCAACTTGCCTTCGGATCTTGGACAAATCCTGTCGCAGCTTGTCACATCACTTGCGAAACACCAAGGTCGCGGTGGCAGCTTGGTAGAATGCTGAGTCACCGGTTTAAGATGGTCGGACCCCCTGCGCACCTGACCTGGAAAAAAATATGCTGTTCAATGCTCCTTCGCAATTCTATCATGTTCTCAGTGGTAAGGCTTTAGCCATGTGGGCCCTGCTTTGAATATTTCAACATGTTCAATGAAAATCCTGAAATCAATCTGTCTCTTCATTTAGTGAAATCTGGTCAGCCCAATAAGGTTGGGCCTTTATGCAAAGCTTGTCTTGTTCAGAGACGGCGGTAGCCATGGCAAATGGGCATGTCACCACAAAAGGATACCGCAAAAAGGCATCCTGCACTCAAATCGCAGGCACCTCCTGGCTTCCAAATTTAAACGCCAGCAATATTATATATATATAAGCGACCGGCAAAATTAAAGTTAATTGGTTTTATATGTCTTTATCGTGTCTACTGAGGCTTCGTTTTTGGTTTTCCAGCTTCGGTTTCAAAAGAATTGCACCAGTTAGGCTACTATGCTCTGTTTGTTCAGCAGGTGAGTTATATTACCACTAGACCTTTACAATGTGAAGTACAGCAAAGGCACTTCTTACAGTACAGTGCATTTGGGGCAGGGTCTACAAACGACACTTGTTCGTGGATTTTGGCTTCGTTTGGGGCTTCGTTGTGGCTTCGTTTTGAGACACCACATTTCATGCACTCCAAGAGGGTACATATGCAACCATCCCACCAAGAGGCTTTGTTTGTTGTTTTCCCGCTTAGTTTTCCAAGGAATGTGCAAGATTCTGCGAGATCTCACCAAAAAGGATCAATTTTATATAACACCTTAACCGCTATGATTTTGAGAGTTGCTCATATATGTATATACATATATATATATCACTATATATCGATCCTAATGCCAGTGCATCTGGGACGCGTAGCCGTTGATTCCTGAATGGGTTTGTTCAGAACTGCTCCTGATGCTAAAAAAGGCACATCAGCAAAAATGTGATAAACAAGATTCACGGAGTCTGTGCTGCTCCACCAGCTGACTATCATACACTGACTATATCACTATCGGAGACTGTGTGTTCCGCAGCTCTTGGACTTGGAATGTTTCGCAACCCTTTTTGGCCATCTCCCATTCGCACCCTGAGTGGAAGCTGATCAGCTGATATCGGCTGATCAATGCCTCCAGCAAACCATTCCAGATGGCTTTGCTGAGCAGATATGCAAGCTCCACTGACATAAGTCAGAAGCTGCACACTGCAAATGGCTGCAGAATGTTCTGAAGAAGCTTAGGCTGACAGATTGCCAAGTTACATGTCTAAAAGCTGATATGGTGTGTATGAAAATTGCCTCTGACTTGGGTTGTCCAGTTGCGGGGTTGTCTTCCAGCAGTTGCACAATGAAGCTGTGAGGAGAGAACACTGCTACACTGCCAATGTCAGCAAGCTGGATTCAATTTAGTGACGCAGAAAGCCTGTGGATGACCAAAAGGCGTCACATTGAATTCAAAGTGCATTGACTGTATGATGATGGCACTACGGCGTGCACACGTTTCTGTACGATCATAACGTTTCCTGTTCTCAGAAAGGGCCAGCAAGGCTACAGCTGGGCACACACTCAAAAAAAGGAATATCTACATTATCTCGTGCCAAACACGGCCACTACAAAATGATTGATTACTTCCAAGCCAGCCGAAGTGAAAATCAACCACAGCAATCACAAGCTGTCAGTGGTTCCTCACAATGTTTACATATGTTTACCGTAATTGAATTTCGATCCTACGGCTGAACAACCGGTAGCTCAATGACCTCCTGAAATCAAAGGACGTTTGTTTCTCAAAAACACTCACCACGGTAGACACAAAAAGGTGCAATCATCATATCCCTACCGCCGCTGTTCAGCTTCAAGATCCCTTCAGAATGTCCGTCATAACGATAGCACCGTCGCCTGCCACTGCCACGTGTATGTGGCCCATTTCAAGTTGTCCCCTCACTCTAGATTGAGAATAATTGGCCTGTGAACATCACAATTGCTAGTGTGCTTCTGAAAAGAACATAGGATGAATGACCTTCGTAAAATTCTTGACGTCCTTCCGGGCGCCAAAAGCCTTGACAAGCCAGGTGCGTTCCAAAGGCTCGTTCAGGTATCGAGCATGTCTTCTTCCACATGTGGATCGCTTTGGACTCTGTTCTTCAATTCCAAATGCTATGTGTTCCGTACTGAGTTCATGCCAAGTGTCTGCGGTAAGCTGCCGTTCCACCACCTGAGAGCAAAGCTGAAATCATCGGTCTTTTCCAGTTAGCTACTGGGTATACTGTCTATTGTTGAATCATGTTGAACTCCATTGCACTTAGAGTGCGCCGCAGTTAAATATAACCAAGCCAAATCAACAATGCCTTAAGGGTTCTTCTGCTTTGAGAGGGGGGTTCTTGCAAGAAATGCCCCAAACCCAGCAGGGTTGGCTCGCTATGCCTTATAATCCTTATACCCGTCCATCCCTGCACAACAAACCGACATGAAACGAGCGTTTGAGTCGCTGGTTTGCGTTGCCTCAGCTGCTTTGGACCGTTGAGCTGCTTCTGCAACTGCCTCATCAGTGTTCGTCAAGCAAACATGTTTGTTTAAAGAGGTGCCTACAGCTTTATCCTCCATGTGTGCCTACGGAGAACCTACGAAGGTGAGGTTGTTGAAGTACTGTTGAAGTTTGCCTACGGTGCGATGCAGCTCTTGCGATTGCAACGTTATATTGCAGCAGCTGGTCATTTATCCTTCAGATTTCCGAGGGGCTTGACTTGAGGACAAATCAAACTTAAGTCTTGCAAGCTACTACTACTACTACTACTACCACTACCACTACCACTACCACTACCACTACCACTACCACTACCACTACCACTAC